CACTGGCTAACGAGTTATTCAACAAAATGTTAAACATCGGCATTATAATATTTTTTGATTTACGTTTACTGCGCCATTTAACAATTTGCTAGAATTCTCGGTACCTAGTGATTGTAAAAAGACGATTTATAGCTCGTTGGAATCGCCTCATCAAGACGAATCGAATGGTGGTAAGCTCATCTCTCTGTGATCAATATTGACGGAGTTATTACTTAAAAACCATTTAATATTTTTTAATTTCGGAAATTGATCTGGTGATTGGATTTCGATGTATCTTATACCATTAGATTCGTCTCATCAAGACGAATCGAATGGTAGTAAGATCGTCTTTCTAGGATCAATATTGACAGAGTTATTACACAAAAACCATTAGTATTTTTTTAATTTTGGAAATTAATCTAGTGATTGGATTTCGACGTATTTTATACCATTAGAACCGTCTCATCAAGACGAATCGAATGGCGGTAAGATCATCTCTCTACGATTAATATTGGCGAAGTTACGATACAATAAAGTTTTAAGTATAATTCTGGCTAAAATTATGTTAATTTTTGGCCGGAATTATGATATACAAATATAAGAAATTTTTTATATAGTCACATCTCTTTATAATCACCAAATATGGACTGTCCCAAATGTGTGACTATAAAGAGAGTTGACTGTAATTTCAAAAACTAATACTAATACTAATATACATTATATTTGTTTATTTCTGACTTATACAGGTCATTATATAAATATTTGAAAGTATATTATTTGTTATATTAACTAGTTTTTTCTAATGGTAATATTTTTATAAAATCCCAAATAATACTATCACAGCTTACAAATAAATTTTAAGTAAAAATACATTTTATAATATAATTCTGTTAATATTGAAATCACACGTCAAATGACCAAAAACAGGCAAAAAAAATGGCGCAAATTGCATAAACTATTTGCAAATTTGCATAAACTATTTACAAATAGTATAGGTTAATTCGCAAATAGCAAAAAACAGCCAAAAATAGCCAAAAATAGCCAAAAATAGCCACTGCTTTTTGTGCCATTTTTTTTTGCCAATTTTTAGCATTTTGACCTGTGAATTAGAAATATGATTTTACTATTATTAGAATCCTCTATTGAAATAAATTAGGATCCCACACAGGTCAAAAAGTGAAAAAATCAGGCATCAATCAGTCACCAATTAGTCACCAATCAGGTACCTGATTGGTAACAGTATTTGGCGAAAATGCCAATCAGTCACCAATCAGATACCTGATTGGTGATTGATTGATGCCTAATTTTCACTTTTCGACCTGTACCACTTACTTATAATAAAGGTTACTATAAAAAATTGTCCTTTTACTAGGATCCCAGAAAATTAATATAAAGGTCATAAAGAACTTTTGGCCAAAAACACCACTTTTCGCCAAAACTCAAAAAATCGTATTTTATAAATATCTCAGCATCTAGTAATTCAATTTTAATGAATTTTTTTTTATTTTGTAGCCCTCATTCAAATATACAATTTTAAAAAAAAGTTTATCAAAATTGGACTACTGGATGCTGAGATATTTACAAAAAATGATTTTATTTTTTGAGTCTTAAAAAATGGGCCAATTCACCAAAAGTGTAACTTATGACCTGTATTAAAGAATTCTGGAGTCCTGTAAGTAAAGTTCTGATAAATCTAATAATATAAATTTTACTAAAATCAAATTACTAGTTATGTTAAAATAGGAGATATATAAAATAATAAAATTTTAAAAATACTAACTTTTGAAAAATTTAATATAAATTCTAAGCAAATTCAAATATGAGTTATATTAATATTATTCAGAATCCTATTTTATATATAATATTTTTTAGAGTGAATTTATTTACCGCACTCTGCGTTACAAAGCATCCTTCCTTTTTTGTAAATTATTTATATCAATTTTTAGTTTATACATCACATTCCTTTTAAAATGGCAAATAATAAACATAAAAATATATATAAATTTGTAACGCAGGGTGTAGTGAATACATTATTTCTATTTTTTATATATATGTTATAAAATTATACATAGAAAATTTTAATTTACTATATTCTTTACAAAAAATTTATTTAGAATTCTAATAGATTATACATTTCTTTTGCTAATAACATTTTTGATTGCAAATTTTTTCTATTTTAAGAATGAATTTTGCTAATTTGCTTTTCAAATGAAATTATCCAGATGATTTCACTCATATATAAATTTATTAAAATCAGGTAATTTCACCCATAATAAATCATGTATAAATATTTTTATTTTTATTTACATATAAAAATAAATTTTATAAACATTTATTGTGAATAGAAAAATCTATAATTATATTACATTATATATATAGTTTATATAATAACCTTTGATATCATTATTAAAGTTAAAAATAATTGAAATTATACTGAAATTATAATGAATTAAAGATAAAATTAAATGAAATTAAATGAATTCAGAAATAAAAATATACAAGGTTAAAATAAACTAAAACTAAAAAGAAGATAAATGAATAATCAAAATTGTAATAAAACTAAATCAAACATAAGTAAAAATGAAATTGTATAAAGAAAATAAAAATCCTAAATTACTCAAAAAGAAACCCAAAAAAGAAATTTAAAGAAAAAATCAAAAAACTTAAAAAAAAAAACACGAAAAGAAATTCAAAGAAAAACAAAAAAAAATCTAAAGAAAAAGTTCAAAGAAAAATCCAGCCAAAATAGAAGAAACCCAAATGAAAAATAAAACTGGTTAGTTACTGTAAAGAAACTAGATTTCCAAAATTCTGAAAAACTTGAAACTTACCATTTACTACATTTACTAGGATACCGAAGTTGAAAATCTACAAAAAGAAAATGGATACAAAAAGAAAATGGATAAATAAGAAACAATAGCAAATAAAAAAGTAAACAAATATTATAAAAAAAAAGCTTATCTTTAAAAGTCTAAAAAAAAAGAAAAAGCATTAAAAAATATTAAAAAACATTAAAAGACATTAAAAATGTTAAAGGTTGCCTAAAAATATTAAAGAATATTAAAATTTGTTATCTGATAAACAAATAACTGATAACAAAAAAATAATCAGGTAATATCACCTACATTTTTTTTTTTTTTTTTATTTATAGTTTATTAATTATGACATGGCTTTATATATATAAGATGATTATCATTATAATACATGAAAATAGATCAACAATCCTCGATGTGCAATGAGAGATCATTAATAGACTTTGGTACAAATGTACCATCGCACCAAAAAGAAAAATAAACATGAGAAAAAAAAACAATTAAAAAAAAAAATAAAAAGTCTCATGTACAAAAGCGATAACAAAATTAGGAATGTAAAATAATAAGGAAACAGTCAGTAATGAAGCCACTTTATAACAACTATACTTCTAAAGCTAAGATCATCTGAACATTTTTTAGAACTTATCAAGATTCTCCCAGCTTTCTAAGCATCGACCTTATTTCTGCTAATATAGTAAGCTTATCAATATTGCCCAAAGCCTTATTAATATTCTTGATTTCCTTGGCCACCTTCTTTTTCGTGTTAGTATCATTAGTTCAAACCTTGGAACTGCCTTCTTGATTTATCTTCTAAGGGTGCCTCCTTTTTTACTTCAAGTTAGGGGTAAAATATCTCATTCAAATATCAGTAAATTTGTTCAAGTTAAATAGCTTACCAATGACTTTTTCCAAGTCAGCCTATGATTTATAGTAAGTTATTAGCTTACAGGTGTCCTGATCTTAAATTAGTTTAAATGCTTTGCACCTTATGGGTGTGAGAATAAAGTGAGCAAGGTTATCTAGATATAGAGTTGCTGTAGTTACTGAAGCAGAAACTCCTTTAAGCACAGCCTGGAATTACTCCTGTTTCTTTCTTTGTTTGAAATTCCAGTTGGCCAGAAACTATCGTATGGATAAACCTTTAAATAGAGCAGTCAGGATCCTGGACATTACATATACAACTCAGTGGCAACTTTTTTGCAGATTGACCTAAATTTCACAAAAAAAAATCAGTTTTTTGTAATTATCTCAGCATCCAGTAGTCCAATTTGTATGAACATTTTTTTGTTTTGTAGCTCTCATCAAACTCTACAAAATAAAAAAATCCACATGAATTGGATTACTGGATACCAAGATAATCGCAAAAATCAGAAAATAAAAAAGAGCAAATTAGGTTTTTTTTGGCAAAAAGTCAGTTGTGAGTTCTATAAGAGATGTCTGGGATCCTGAGCAGTCCATACTCCATCATTCCAAAGTCTTGTAGCCTCTTAATTGAATTCAATCGAAACTGTAACAGTAATGTATTTCTGTTGAGATTTAAATTTAATCGCAACTATTTGACTTTAGGTTTTAAAATGATTAAACATATCAAGTTGAGACCAGGTGGAGAGGATATCATAAACCATAATTTTCTGAATAAAGTCCTTGTTCATAGGCATATATTCAGTCATTATAGTACTAATAGTTTTAGGTAAAGTTGCAGCAGATTGTTTCTTGGTAGTCTTGGAAGAACTTTGACTATTATTAGCTTTTGAAACAGACGCAATTTTTCTCTTTTTTTTTGTAAAAGATGAAGGCGAGCTTAGTCTGCTGACATTATCTTTCATGTCCTATTTAACCATGTTAACATATGAAACTCGCTTTTGTTTACCTTTGGGCGTAAAAGGAGTGGCTTTTACTGAGAGGATACTGATTGATTCCTCTTGTTGTGCTCAGCTTTTGATTGGTGTTTAGGCATTTTTGGTGCTTCTAAAATTTCTATATCCATCAGTTGATCTTTAACAGATTCAGACGTGTCTGAAGGTTGTTATGTTGAAGTTACATGTTATTATTTCACAAGTTCTTGGCAAGTTACATTGAACTCTTTAACAACAGCTTGTTGTATAAAGTGAAAACTCCTGTAAAAAAGGAAGAGAAAGTGAAATAACTTATTAGTGTCTTTAACCTTAAAAGTTGAGAGGATATCCTAATTGTTGTGCAGTAATTTATCATACGGTTGTGAGTTTGAGCCACTTTGTTTTTCAATGGTTTGTATAACTTTATTTTCTGAAGAAATATTATCATATTTATCCAAAACAGCCTGAACAAGTTCTAAAAAGGAAGCTCTTTCATTAGTAGATATATTTTGAAGCCCTAAAGGGCCTTTAAAAAATGTTAGAGGCAACTTAGAGGCCATAAGTTCTTTGAAAATTTCTTGAGAAAAAATGGTTCATGCGATTGTCAGAAAGAGTTTCAATATCATTTATGTTAAATAAATTTATTATTATTATAAAATAATAAAAATTAGTAGATGATATCACCTAGATGATTTCACTTCAAGTGAAAATTAATTATAATCTTTAAAAATATAAAAATACTGATAAAATACCAATTTTATTTTGCAATAATATGTATATATCAGATTTTATACTTTAAGAAATATTTTTATTTTAAACTTTTTTATATGATTATTATTTTGCAAAAATTTTTTTTATAAACATCTATATAAATAATTTTAAAAATGAGTATTTTAGGATATTTTAAAAAGTTATACTAGTACTAATGAGAAAGTAATTTTCTATTTTAGTAAAAATTACTTAATAAATATTTTCACTTATAACAAGATTGTTATTGAAAATAACAATGAAAGGCTAATAGCAATTTTTGATAATACTTTAGCTGGATATTAGAAAATTCTATTTATAGTTATTTCTATAAAAATGGTGGAATTTTATTATCACTATTTAAATAGTTAAATTTGTATTTATTTGTAAAAAATATTTAAAAAAGCAGTATTTTATCTGATTTATATCTTATTATAAAAAAATAAAAATTAAACAAAATAGTGCTTTTTTAGACATTATTTTATTATACATAAGTACAAATATTAAATAAATTTAACTCATTTTATTTTTATAGGGTATTAATTATGAAATATGAATCTAGTCATTTGGATGAAAATCACTTAGATTTTCAAATTTAATTTTTAGTAAAATAATAATTACTAATGGTAAAATTTTTTTAATTGATTATTTTAAAATTATAAAGTTAAATAATTATAATATCTGGAGATGTAATAAACTTCTCATATAATTGATTACAATAGAAATATTCTTTCAGTTATCCATTAGATCTTCTGAATAAATAGGTAAAAAGCAGCCAATTTACTTTTTAAATCCATGTAAGTAATTATTTTACAAACTATTTCAGATATGCTTACATATTTGGTTGAAGACTTTTAAAATGGAATTATTTTTAAAGGTAATAAAACTTTTATTTACAATAACAAACAAGGTAAATAAAAAAATGTAAGTCAGATTAAAAGTTATTTATAGGTAGTTATATAAAAAAGAAGAACATAGCCTACTTATAAGTAAGTCTCAATTTGATGCAAATAAAATACAATTTTATAAGATTGTGTCCTATTTATTATTTTTAAGAAAATTTCTAAGTTTACACAGGGTGTTTGTATACAGGTCATATAAATATAATTTCATCAGGAAATTTGTTTAGATGTAATTTAATGTAATATTTCGGAGGTGGTGTAAAATTTTGAAATATTACATTAAAAATGTAATATTACAAAAGTTTATGTTCTTAAATTTGAATAGTTATAGTAATTTAAGAATATCTCGCTATCTACTGATCTAATCAAGACGATCTATAGCTTATTGGAATCAGCTTATCAAGACGAATCGAATGGTAATAAAATCGCATTTCTACTGTTGATAGAACGCTCTATAGTATGCAATAAAGTTTTAAATTAATAGAAAATTATCTATTAAATGTAAAGATGCGATTTTACTACCATTCGATTCGTCTTGATGAGTTGATTTCAATGAGCTATAGATCGTCATGATTGGATTAGTAGATAGCGAGATATTCTTAAATTACTATAACTATTCAAATTTAAGAGCGTAAACTTTTGTAATATTATGTTTTTAGTGTAATATTTCAAAATTTTACACCACCTCCGAAATATTACACTAAATTACGCCTAAACAAATTTCCTGATGTTTTAATAGACTAATTTTTTGTTTTTTAATTTGAAATTGAATGCTACTGACATTATACTCTTTTACTTTTTATTCTTATTATATTACAGATAAATATATGTATTTTCACTTGCTTTGCAAGTTTACTTAAGGCATTAAAGGAGGTTTTTGATGCCGTTTTTAATCTACTAATATGACCCATATTTAAACACCCGTGTATAAATAGAAATTGCCTATTTTTAATATATATTTAATTAATTACTCAAATTATTTTGGAATGCCATAATTCATTCAGTTTATATGTAATTTAGTGCCAAAATAATTTGGAATGTTATAATTGAATTTGGGATTTTACTTATAACTATGATAGTTTAAAATAATTTGAATAATATGTATATATTTAATATAATTTTAAATAAAAAAAACATGGCAAGTGAGGTATTAGCATTTATTTTGTAAAGTTAAATTTACCAGTTCTTTTAATAAATGTGTACCATATTAATTAATCACTTTGAAAGTAATTTTTTTTTAAATAAAATTTAAATTTAACAAATATACAACCATTTTACTTTTTTTAAAAAAAAAATAATAAGAAAAGCATAAGAAGTAGCCAAAGGTTTATTTGAAATGTAAATTAAACAAAAAAAATATAACAGATAATAGGAAAAACAGAAATACTTTCTTTATTAAATATACAGTATATCATTAGGATTATAAAACTCGGGTGATTTCTCACCCATACAAAAATGACGTTATGTTGATCATTTGCCAATCCTTTCTAAAAAAGGAACAACGTAATTTTTGAAGAAAAAAAAATATAAGCTTCGTATAGCCTTCAAAATTATGGCTTATAGGTAATTTTGACTGCTCTACAAATTTACTTAGTACCTTAAGAAAGGTTATAAATACCATTTTTGATACTTGATATTTATTTTTGACAATTTATGACTTGGGGATGAGGAATATCGAATCTCACCCGGGGTAAGGAATAAATTCACACAAAAAATTATATATACTAAATTTTACATCATTTTAAAGCTATTATTTTAAAGAGTTAACGTGTAAATTTTATATCTTTATTTTTCTAGAAATCAGAAATCAAAAAAAATACTAATATTAAATTTTTTCATTTTTTTAATTAATTATTGTAGTTATATGAAAGCTAGTAATATAAAATTACAAATATATTTTATTTTATTACAATCCATTCATAATAATAACCTAATTCATCGAGATTTACATATTGGTAATATACTAATGGGCCATATATTTTGGGTACATTTTTCAAAATTAGAATTACGTGACAATAACATGTGATTCATTTTCAAATTTGTCGTACATAAATTTTATTTCTTCGAGTAGATATATGGCAATTATGGGAATTTCAGGTTTTATTTCATGTGAAGATTTTTTTTTTCGTGATTAATTTAGGTTTCATATTATTCTTTATTATTGACTTATTTAGTATATTTAATAATTTAATTTTATCTAAATCTAAATCTGTCATTGAAATGAGCCCCATTGTTTTTCGCATTGTTGTATAAATAGATCCACTATTTACCGAATTAGTTATACTACATTGTTTTACTGCATAGAAAAATGGCCGATTTTGTAAAACTCGTAGTGCCAAAAACTCCATTGTTAATTTCTACAACAATAAAACATTATCTTGATGGACCACCTAAACCTTCTTGGGATTTAAAATTTCATTTAGCTGTAATATTGGTTAGATCATTGTTCAAAGATTCCAGTACTCTAACTATTGAGCAAGTGCAAAGAGCAAGTTGTTATTCTATCCCTGTACTGGCTGGTGTAACGATAAATGAATTTAAGATAAACAATAAATATAGATACGAAGCTCAAGTACATCTTGAGAAGATTTTGAAACCTTATGAACATGTTTTAGATACTGAATGGAAAGATTTAAAAGATGATGGAATTATTTCTGAATGGATTCAAGTTCCTAATGATGAGTGGGAAAAAAGAGAAATTAGGAAAACTATTTTGTATTTACACGGTGGAGGTTATTATTGTTGTGGTAAAAGTTCTTGTCGTAATAATACAAGTTCTCTTGCCAAAAAAGTAAATGCAAGAGTTTTAGGTAAGCAAAATTGAAAGGATGAAATTTTCATGAATCTTCAACATTTTACCTAATTAAATATTTATATAGTAATCGATTATCGGCTTGCACCTCAAAATCAATTTCCCGCCGGACTACAAGATGCATTGGCCGCTTATTTGTATCTCTTAAATCCTCCAAAAGATGCGGGATTTGAACCTTTAAATCCAAAAAATATTGTATTTTCTGGTGAAAGTGCTGGGGGAGGTTTAAGCATGGCTCTTGGTCTCGCTATACGTGACGCTGGTTTACCATCATGCGCTGGTATCATCGGTTGGGTAAATAAATAAATTTTAGTTTTTTATATATTATTGAATTACTAATTATTCACATGATTATGTTGCGCCACATTTTACAGAGTCCATGGGTTGACCTTACAGTTAGCACGCCTTCAATATTAGATGACGAATGTTGCGACTTTCTTCCAAAACCTTCGGAGAGGTTTGTTCCCAAAGAATCTCAAGTTGAAATTGAATATAAAGAAAAAGCTGCTGCCCTCACAGCAAAAATTAAGAAACAAAATATTGGTCCCAAAATTTGGCATGATTCTTTTGATAGACCTGGAAGAATACAAATGTATGCACCTAATGAAGGTTTGGCAATTCCATATGTTAGTCCAATGTTAGCTGAGAGCTTAGGCGGTTTGCCTCCTTTATTACTGGTAAGGATAAGTAACATGTGATCTTTATTAAGAAATTTCGTACTGAAAAAAATTTTATATGAATAATACAGGTAGCAGGAGATAGTGAGAGATTGCGAGATGAAGCAATTTATCTTGCTCATAGATCTGCTGAACCAGCTAAATATAAAGGTCCATCTTATAATGCTGGTAAATTTGAAAAATCTCCATTCCAAGCTCCGACAAATACTACACTAGAAATATATGAAGAAATGCCTCATGTATTCCAAGTAAGATAAAATATTAGTTTTAATTTACAACAAAAAAGTTATTGTATTTTTTTTAAAAAATTCTTCCGTTTTTTTTTTATTTTAGGTGATGGATCATGCTAGTACTACAAAATCGTATGAACGTACAGTCGAATTCATAAATAAAGTGACAAACGCTATTGACGAACCACTTCCCCCTTCCTCTTTCAGTTGCATAAATACTAAAGGAGAATTTGGCCCTTTAAAAGAACATCATAAAGAAATCCTTAAATGGGAAAATATTGGTATCGTACCAAGTGTCAAACGTGAATTAACTACACGTAGATCGTAAGTAAATTAATAAATAAAATTAATTTAGAAATAATAACACGTTAATTTACTTGAAAACTTCTTTTTTTAGAACCCCGGAACTTTTCGTATATACGGCATTATTACTTGCCGGGTTTGCTTATTTTCTTCGCAAAAATTTCTATTAAAAATAAAAAAAATATTACAGTAGGTGGTTTTTATTTGTCGTTTTGATTTACTTATTTATTTGTAATACTTTATAAATATTATTTAAATCGATTAGTTAATTCCAATACGTAAATAAACAATTCTTCCCTTCCTTATTAACTTACTCATAAATATTTTTTCCAGAAAAAATAAATTCTGTTGGTCATTAATTTATTATTCCATTTTATTTGAGATGAATCAAATGAATTACGCTTATCAAATTAAGAAATTCTACGTATTATATATCCTTATGGGTATTATAAAATTAAATTAGCAGACCACGAAAATTATCCGAAGCATAAAGGCGTATCTACCGTATCACGTCAAATCTTTAAGGAAATAAAAAAAAAATTAGTCTCAAAAGAAAAAATTCGGAAAATAATTAACGGCTGGAATAATATGTTATGGTTCGTAACGTAAAAGGATGCGTTTCTAATTATCAAATATTCATTACTTGCTAATTAAAAATAATCCAGTCGTTAAAGAATTTGCACAATAAACACGTGATCAAATTAATAACGAAATAAAAAATGCATGTTACACTTTAAAACAAAATATAATTGGATGGGATCTTTTAGAAGTAGTAGAAGGAAGAGAAGGGTCTGTTGAAGCTTTTATGTAACTCTGATTCTAAGTCTTGGAATTGTTTTTCAGGTGTTAATTGGAAATTGTCTTTGTTTTGTTAATCTCCAATAAGATGATTAAACCAGAATGATCATTTAAATTTACTTGAACAAATTTGTAATAAAATGGAGCATACTTATTTGAGTGACATTTTGAAGAGATAGAATTCTCCAGACGAATTTCATCTGTAGCAATTCAAAGTTATTGTTAGAGAGTAGTTTTAGAAGTAGTGAACGAAAGTAGATAAATTTTCTAATGTCTTTCTGTATTATAATACTTATAGACTTTGTTACAATTACCATTTCAGATATAACGTGGGCCAGCATGACTTTTGCCGGTTCAATTTCGTATTGGCTTAACGCGAAAGTAGAGAAATATCAAAAATGTAAAACGTGCTTTTTGTCGTTTCACACGACGGTGCAATCATGTTATTTTTCGGACTTGCTTTTTTATTTGCCGAGTGATAGCATGTACGACTTAAATCGTTCTAATGAGTAAGATGTAATGAATAATTGGCAGTTAACCATATTACATATAGAAAATTCTTTAGAATTAATATGATAAAAATGTATTGAAAATTATTCCGGATAATAAGTAATAACTCGTAAGTGTTCACAAAATCCAGTTTCCAGCTAATTAATTCAATCGATTTTCTCCATATTTGCTCTCTAGTTTTTTATTGGAATTTGTTTATTTGAGCGACAACTTCGTGGTGCATGGACGAAAGAAAAAACACCGTATATATTCAAAATGCAAGGTTTTAAAAAACCAAAATTATTAGTTCAGGTCAGTTGATATTGATTTTCTTCTCCCATATAATTCAAACATTAATATATATATTATATCATTTACATTTTTTCCGTTTTCAAATTTTTGCATATTTATTTTATTCATATATTCTATTATAATAAATTCCATTATACTTTTTTACCACTTAACCCATTGATCTCTAAAATGATTCATAGTATCCATAAAACCTGTATATTCATTTACACAATCACTTTGTTCCCTTTTCTGTAAAGCTTCTGGCATCCATTCATTAATTTTACGGATTCTTGATTCATGAGCTGGATGTGTACTCAAAAATTGTGGTGGTGAATTCTTTTGAGCAATACTCATTCGCTCCCATACTTTTCTTGCTTCCCTAGGATCATAACAAGCTTGAGCCATTAATATAAGCCCAATATAATCAGCTTCTATTTCACATTTTCGTGAAAAAGGTAACCTATGAAAAAAAGATTATAATCAAACACAAACTACGTGTTTAAAAAATCAATATTTTCCGATAACTTACATCATACCAAACTCCATCAAGAGCCGACCTAATAGGCCGGGATCTATAATGATACTAAGGAATAATTGTGCTAAAATTAAAATTTTTACAAAAGAGAGTTTCTCGGCGCTATGACGCGCAACCTGATGACCAATCTTTAATTGTTATGAAATATGTTTAATTATTTGATGGTTTTCTTACCAAGAAAAAAAAATTAAGGTAAAATCATACCTCATGACCTAACACCGCAGCCAATCCATCTTCATTCCCGACAATAGGTAAAATTCCCGTAAAAACAAAGACTTTACCACCAGGAAGTACGAAAGCATTTTTTTCTTTAGATTCAATAACATGAAATTCCCAATTTAAATCTGATTTATTGTTAAACAAAAATTAATGGAGGAATCGAAAAATTAAATATATATAACCATATAAACTAATTTATAATATACCTTGCATTCCACTTACACTTACGATTTGTCGAGCAACTTTCTTTACAAATTTTGTACGATGATCAAAAGGCGGTAAAATTTTTCTACCATATTGCTTCATAACCTCATTATATGCTTGTTGTGCCAATTTCTCTTCTTGTTTGGGAGTAACATCAATGAACCTGCGCCTATTAGTTACGGGTACCGTTTCTAAATGGCTCACATAATATACTCCTCCAAGTCCTCCAACCGTACCAGTATAAACCCAAAATATTTGTTTTTGATAAAATGGTGTGGCGTTTTTAAAACGTACGTATCTCTGATATGGATATAAAGGATTTTGTGGAGAACGTTCCGAAAGCTGTGTGCGATTGTTAAAACCATTTATATTTCGAGAAATATATATTTTCGGGCTTAATCGAGGTAAACTTTGTCTAAAGAAATTATATCTCATTAAAACATAAACAGAGGTATGCATTGTTGTACTCTTATTTAAATTTTGAGTAATGGTTATTGAAGGCTTTTTAATGCTGGATAAAGCGGATAAAAGACGCTTATTACTTGAAATTAAAACATGTTCTCTAAATTTAACCGAAAAAGCATTACAAAAATACATTTGATTAAAAGAAATTTAAAGCATCAAATTGTAAAAGAAAATTAATTGCTATTATTAAATAGGGGTCCGAAATTTTTAAATTTCAAATTATCACAGTGAAATAAATAAAATTATATTAATTACATTATAATATTAAATGGTTATTGACTCAACATTACGATATCAGTTATATCAATAAGAATTTTAGAAAAAAAGAGAACGCGTTGAAGAACTAAACTAGAATTTTTTTTCATTCTCTGATCTTTCTAAGCCACCCTATTCTAATTATGGTAAGTGCTATCATATTCAGCGGAAAATTTCAACGTTTCACAACCACAATTATGATAATATAGAGTCGAAGTTTATTTTGACGCGTACGCGTTTAGACAGCTAAAGAGTAAAGAATATTTAATTTTAGCGTTTCTGACTGCTCTTTATTATTTTACTGGCTCGGCTAACCGCAGTAATATGATCAAAAACTTGTTCCGAATCTCCGAATCTATCATTGTTTACCAATAATGTAACACATTAGTTCGTGATGTCTTCAGCCATTTCCGTTTGTTCAATAATAGCAACCAGTCTAACTGCATTGCATCGACATATTGACGAATGACGATGTAGTGAAGAATGATAGCGGGGAGAAAGAAATTGGAAACATTGTAGTCAGAGTTTCCTGAGGAGACACGATGGCACCTGTAAACCCTAGTTCCGAAAGAATTATCCAAAGAATCATTATGTGTAAGTAAAAGTTAATAATTTCTCTGATACACGTTTCATTCAGATAACTTATTACCAGTGGATTTCCCTTTCAGGTAATTTAATAAATACTTACTGGTCTATTACTGCGGTGCTTTCTTGTTGGATACCGCCCTTTGTAATCAACTCATTTTATCTTGAAGATAAATTCCACAGGTCAAGGAAGATACTGCCATTCTTTTCATCTTCTTTGTTGGAGTAGTTAGTCATGAACTTAGGCTACTAGTAGCATCAGAGAAGTTGATATTGTCATCTTCAATTGTCCTCTAAAGGATTCCCAACATTCACGCCGAAATCTCTGAGAGTTAGTAAAAGACTCTCTTTTTCTAGTTCATATTCATCCAAGTTCCATCTATATTCAGTACGAAACGATGTGAAATAATCATATGTTACTAAATCCTGAGTTTTTCGAAAACTATGATGAGCATATGTCGAAATAAAAAAATTTACCTTTTACATTGTAAAACAATGCTTTTCAGGCATTCCCTGATCATTTCTTCTAGTAGATTTCCAATTTTTTTTTGAAAAACCGTATACGTTTAATATTAATAGCACGATACATTATAAATTGTAATAAAGGACTATGTAAAGAGATTTTTCTGAAATAGGAAGATCATTAAAGACAAAAGAGATACCTGCATAGTGTACTTCGAATGGATACTAGACATTCATAATAATTCTTCGATTAGAAGTTGCCCTTCTTTGTAAAATAAAGAATACGTACCTTTTTGTCCACAGTAAAAAAGGTGCTTTGATCGAAGTCTCCACTTCCTCTATAAAACGGGTGGTCTAACTGTTATTTAGAAATAATAGTTACTTCATGGCAACAAAGGCCTTATAATATCATGAATATTGACTTTGCATTGTAACATTTTTATTTAACATGAAATATACAGTGAACACATATCGATATTACATAAACCTATCATAATATCGTATAACAGTTTTACACGTTTTTTTTTTGTGATGAATTTGACTTTCGACAATATGAGTGGCGGAATGATGATGTTTCGGTTCGTAATTGAGATGAATTTATAATAATGGATCTTACCCTTTCCTGCATAAAGCAAAATAATCTGCGAAATAGCGTGATTGAAGATCATAAAGTAAGGTTCTTACCAGTAATGAATATAAGGTAGATACCACCACAGTGATGATGTTTAAAAAATTCGCATTTTCCGTACTTTCAATATAAGTTTACATTGGTATAGACCATCATACACCAAATCAGTACTAAAAATTTTGCCTATTGTTTTTACATTCAGAATGAATGCCCAAAGGGGATTTGATTAGCTTGGTAAACAAACATCAGCAAAGTTATATAACCGTCTTACCGCAAATTAATACGCCATATGTTTCCAGACCAACCACATAACCGTATATATTAATAATTTAGTCTAAAGACCCTCTCATGAATTCTGCTAACTTTATTATGCGGAAAGAGTAATGTGATGTGATGGCTTGTTCCCTTTCAATGTCACTATTCTATGAGAGGATCCGAAAGTCTGGTTTTCTACCATGATTATAACCATCCAATAAGCGCCTCTCCTTGGAACTTTCAGATTCACCATTGCCCTTTGTTTCGATAATGAGGGAATTCCGAAGGAATGTAAGTACATAGTGTTAGAGTTATTTATTATGATGACAACATGAATCTTACCAAACCAATGACAATCCGGTTTTATTAAAAATTTCTTCTTTCTTTATTATCATTGTAACTTATTGAGGATAAATAGGTAATACTGCAAGGGGAAAAAAGTATTAATATCGCTATTATTTTTTTATTAATTCACCTCGTAGGCAAAGCCTAGAACTTACAAATTTCTTGAAATTATCTGTACACAATCGAAGATGCCTTTGTCTTCATCTGTTAATAATTTATTCCCCTTTGCCCAATTGTTACGCCACTTTGTATTGAGTGATTGTTTGTCATTCAAAAGCTAAAACACAAACAAATTTATGTGTTTACTGATTGTTTATGATCATACCAGGCAAGGTACTTACTCTATTGTATTCGATTACTGCTAAATCAGCAACTGTTGGCAATTCCTTTGGAATCAATGGTCTTGGACGAACTTCGTCCCATGTCTCTTCGGAACATCTGACATATTCATCGCAATAGCAATGTAATCGATGATAGACACCTGTAAGTATATATAATGTTAAACACAGCCAAATTTCTGTAGCTTCGCATAGAAAATACTTACAATATCATATCAATTTCTTTCGCATATGACAAAGTTGGATTGATTTTCAGTTTTTCGATTGAACCTAATTGAAACTCACGAAAATCGATGGAGATGTTGTGTCTGTCCTGCGTTACCCACTATTAGGGATGGGGATCGGTTCGTCGGTTCTTCGTCAAGTAAAATATGAGCTACATGCGTCAAATTTAAGACGCAGGTAGAGCATGTGATGAAGGTCGATTAGAAAAATTTTGATTGGTCATCAAACGATGGTTGGTCCGGGATCGTCATAATTTTGATGACAACCCGATTTGGAGCGGTTCCTTCGAACCGGTTCGAAGCCGGTTCCGGTTCGATTTTAGAACAGTGTTTCAAGTTCAGAATCTGCTAAAGTTAGAATCGGTTCCAGAACCGGTTCGGAACCGCTCTGTTTGGAACTTCCCCATCTCTACTTATATTTCGTTAAATCTTCCCTTGTCTGTTCTATAAAAGGATTATTATCGTCCTCACGTGTTATCCTTACATCAGGATCATTGTCGTCGCTTGGCTTTGAGAGGAATTCAGATTAGAAATGCCTGGAGGGCATTGCATTGCGATGTAATATAGAACGCAAAACAAGATTCCTAAAGGGAAGTTACCGAAAAAAGAGATGGTTCAGTATCCTTCTCATCAGCTGAGCTAGATGATTCGTTTTCTACTCTTCTTTGTCGTTCTGGAGTTCGTCTTTCATCATCTTCGATAGTAGTAGTAGTTTTGACCTACACGCCAAATTCATTTTCGTTGTATAATATATTTAAGGAGAACGCTTAGTCTCAAATTATCGTTAAAGAATATTAGTTAAAGAAGAGATATTTTCGGGGTACTATATGCAGTGGCAGACGGTACTAAAGAAAATTCTTTTTTTGCAGCAAGTATTGATTTATTAATATGTAAAATTATTCACAATACAATCAATATATGTAAATAAAAGGTTTAAGCTGGCTAATTTATAAAAATGGAGTTTACATATAATTATAAGTTAATAGAAATAAAGAGCTGACTTAGTCAGTCAAATACACGGAATCTCTCCCAGGTCTCGAATGTCCCGTTTCGATGAAGAAACTCTAAGACAAAGACGCGTCCCACGATGGCTTGTGTATTATCATGATAGGTATCATGTAGATTTTTTATAGCATTCTCTAATATTTGTGTTCTATTAAAACAAAAACTGAATCCGAAAGTGGTGCAATAGTGTTGTTATTGGGGAACGGATTGGCGACATAACCAGCGGTGTTTCGAACAACTAATCAATAAAAAGGGATTAGAGAAACTCTCAAAAGAAATAAATAATTTAATATTTAAAGATATACCCTGTGCTACAGCGTGGCTATCAATGTTTCTAGCGGTAAGCCCTGCATCATTATATTCAATTATTAAGATGGGATCACCATAAAAGTTTTCTTCGGTTTCATGTTTGTTTATAATAATATTTCTCCATTTTTCAAGACATTCTTTTGTTTCTTCTCTAAATTCATCCGGAAAAACAGACTTCTTTTCTGAGGAAATTTGAATATTTTAAATATGAATATCATTTTTAGAAATTTGCACTAAATGTTAATGATACCTAGTCATCCAACGTTGAATGTAATTAATGATTAATTATATCAAAAAAATAAATCCAAGTGAACTCCAATAATGTTCGGTAATCATTAAAATAATAAGTGATAAAGGCGAAACTTGACGTGAAAATAAAAAGAGCTAAATATTGAAGAGGAATTTTGTTCAAGTTTGATGACTAACATGTTATCAATCATTCATTTATACATACTGAGAAACTGTACCCGTTGTTGAGTCCGAAGCATTAAGCCACGTGATCGATGTAAGAGGTTCATCGTAATTAGATTTAAGTGTCAAATTGATTTGTTTAAGTAGCAAATTAATTTTATTTGAGTAACAAAACAACTTTTTAATTGATAAATTAATTCTTATAAAAAATATACACAATAAACGTTTATTGTCCCATTAATTTACTTAAATAAAAATACGAATTACTTAATATATGATAATAAAAAGTCAAATTGATTGTTCTTCGCTTGATCTAAATCAGGTATAATATCTAGGAACAAGTGTTAACGGAAGAAAAAATTTTCATTAATAAATAATGAGTTCGGCAAAATAAAAGAGAGTATTATGCCCTACTCTAATTATCAAAGTTGCGACGTCCGCCTCTTTATAATCATGTGCATGACTGCATCTTACGCTTACTATTGTTATCAGAGCTAGACGAAACCAGTTCGATTATTATCCAGTAAGTTAATAATTTATTCGCTGTTCCCATCAATAATCGTGATTATCGAAAATTGATGAGATACTATAAATAATGAGGGAATAAAGTCGTATCTTATAAAAATTATATTGTTAAAAGAACGTAGGTATGAAAATGGTTAGTGTTTTTTTAATGGCAAATCATTTTCTTATGATAAACAAATACATATTTGCGTAATCACATAATCACACGCAATTATAAACCGGCTGTACTGGATAAATAAAATTTTCGTATTATTCACCGGGTGAATTTTGTTTAACTCTTACAATAGATTTGTCGTACCCCAGGGGGTTATCTTAACAAACCCTTTAGATGACCAGGGGTTGTTTTTGAATTTTTATATGCGCAGTTCCAATATATTGTAATAACTAGGAAACGGGAACCGTTGTAAGTCCGGAGCGAAGTATCATAATAAATAAAGATGTTAACATATATCAAGAATGGTAGCGATTTCGAAGCATAACGCCTTGGACAGAAACTCACGTGATCGCAATTTTCTACTGATTAGCAGCATAACGCCTTGACACGTGATCGATCATTTTTTATAGTGCGTAGACATCAGAGTATTCCATTATTATAATAAAAGAATAAAACGGAATTTTTGCTGCATAATGGAATAAAACGGAATTTTAGTGAATTTTGATAATTTTATTCCGACACGTGACAATTAGCCAATCATAAATGCAGATCATCGGAATAAATTTAATGTCTCCGAAAAATTTTTTTAATGTTAAAATGCCACGGTTACTGCTTTTTCACGTGCGCAAGAATTTTCTGAAGAGAGAAAAATATTCATCAAATTTTTGAAGTTATTTTTATGCAGATAATGGAAAACTTATGTGCCGTTTTTGTGATCATAGTATCAACTTTTTGGGATAAAGTTTCATTACAGCTTCCTCTTTTAGAAAAAATTGCGCGAAATTATATTTGGTTACCAATCTCTTCCTGCGCAGTAGAAAGAAGTTTTTCCGCGTATAATAAAATTTTAGATGATGATAGACAAAATTTAAATCTAGAATCACTTAAATTCCTTACTATTATGTACTTTAATAATCAAAATAGCAATAAATAACTATAATGATTAGTAAAATTTATATCGGAATAAATCGGAATTTTTACTGTTATCGTGATAAATATTTGTGATTTGATATCGGAAATTTTCCGGGTCTCTGTTAGACATACCTTCGCATTCGCTCCGGACAATTAAAAAGCACGTGCTATCATATGATACTCTGAACGTCACAAACTCACATGTTAGTGCATAATGCGTAATGCGAGCCCAAAGTCACGGGATAGTGAAATTTTTGATGGGTCGCAGATAAATCACGTGCTACTGCGCTACATGTTCGGACAATATGTGATAATACTTTTTTCCTACAATATAAAAAACACCTTCAGGGATCGATGTCACATGGTTGTGACTAAAAAACAGTGATACTGAACTTTGATATCACGTCATTATTGTCATGCCTTTCTTGATAAGATGGTGCATTACTGAATAAAGTAAGAAATTAAGGATAAAATATTATGTCGTATATTGTTAAGTATAACCTATTCAACTACTTCAAAACAAGCTTAAACTTAGTAAATAGAGGATAGTAATAGAAATTGGTAAAATAAAAGAACCGATGGCAAAAAGCTCCTTACGGGATTAGTATGTTGGGTTTAAATATATCTTTTATAAAAAAATAACCGATTCCCACCACAAAACTTGCTGATGAGAGTTTAAAGAATATATTTTTCTTATGGATGTATGTTTTTTGGTTTCATTGGATGTTTCTATACGCTCTTTGAACTCTTGTCTAGTGAGCTATTTAGCGCAACATTTAATTTTATTGGGTTGATCTGAGCACGTGATTTTATTTAAATCAAACAAGCCTGGTCACATGAGAGGTTTAAAATGATTTTATTAGAATTTTTTCATTGAAATTCTTTTTATACTCGATTGCGTCAAATAGTGATCTAATAAATCGAACTAATAGATCTTGAGCATTAAATTCAGTCGAAATAAACACGATCGTTAATATTTTGTAAATTATTTAAAATGGATTCATATCCTTCAATACCATCACAACAGCAACAGCAGCAACAGCATCAACAACAGCAACAAGCCGGATACAATAATAATCCACTGAATCATGCTTTGTTGCAGCAGGCACCGACTCATCAATATAATTTTGGAACACATTCTATAAATACACGCGTTATGAATACTCAACAACAGCACATGGCGATGGAAAGAAACTATGGGGCAATGGGTAACCCCAACTTACAGCAGATGCGAGGGCTAAATGGTGAAGGTGGAAATAATATGGCTAATCAATATACATTTCAAGGTCGTCAGTCTTTACAAACATCATCAGCTCATCCGATACCTCCAATTTCAGCTTTAGGAGGTCCGATTTATAATAATAATAATATGAATACTACTAATATGTTAGGTTTTCCATCACAAAATAATATAAATGGCCTTGGATTGGAAGTGTTTCAACAACCAGTTATCAATCGTGCGTTAGGACAGACGGTCAGTCAACGACCAAACATTATGTTACTTCAGCAGCAGCAGCAGCAGCAGCAACAACAACAACAACAAATACAACAGCGTCAATATCAACAACAACATCATCAACAGAATCAGCAGCAACAACAGTTAGCAGCTGCACGACAAAGGCAACGTATACAACAACAACAGCAACAAATGATGCAACAAATAAGACGTCCTATGACAAATCCTCCGCCTGCACAGAACCTTCATCAACGTTCTTCACATCAAAAACAAAGCGCTGAACCCGTTAAAAAGCCAGCATCGACTGTCGCTAAACCTTATGAGCCTGCGCCAGATCTTACAGATGTTCAAAAACAATATTTAGAACAATATGTTAGGAGAGATACGCTCTATCAAAAAGCTTTAGATCTTCAGCATAAAAGGCAAATGAATATTATAAGTGAAAAACGTAAAGAAATAACCCAGGCTGAACTAAGACACCAAACACGACAATCAACACTCCTGTTTGGTCCAGGTTATGAAGGTTACGGAAATGGCATTACTGGAACCAAATTTAGGATAGTTTATCCTCACGATAGGAAGAGACCTAAAAAGACTAAAGAATTTAAATTGTAAGCTTTTATTCCTAATGTATATGTGTTAATATCATTATTATTTTTTTTTCTAATTACATTATAATTTATTTAGTTCTCTTCAGCAATTACGAGAAATAGCTGAAAAAGAAGATCTTTTAGTTCCAATAAGATTGGAAATTGATGGGGCGGATGGTTATAAATTACGAGATACTTTCACCTGGAATATAAATGGTATATTGTGATATTTTATACTAATTAGTTTATGAATATAATAATTATATGAATTATTAATATTTGTCTTATTCTATTTCATTTATGTAACAGAAACGCTTATTACTCCCGAGCATTTTGCAGAAGTTCTCTGCGATGACTTACATTTCCCTGTAGCAACTTTTGTACCAGCAATTGTTAAACAAATACGCGAACAATTGCAAGGATATATCTCACATCCTTTATCTTCATTGGATCAATTTTCGACCTCCCCAATACTCCCTTCATTATCTAATCCTTCTGAAGATCCGGATATAAAGGAAGAGGCTGATAACGAAAATATATTAAGTAATTCTGAAGAGTCAAATATTCACGAAGAATTAAGAATTTTAATAAAGGTAAATATTCTTCTAAGATAGTATTATACGAACTAAATAAGTAATTGACGATATATTTTTTTTTACTACAGATTGATGTCACAATCGGCAACATCTCGTTAGTAGATCAGTTTGAATGGGATGTTAATTGTCAGAAAAATGACCCAGAACTTTTTGCAGAAATTTTGACAGCAGAATTAGGTTTAGGAGGCGAATTCAGGTACTTCATTAATTTTTTTTTTTTTTTTTTTTTTATCAATAATGATCATCTTGATACGATTATAATTAATAATCTAATAACCCCCACAAACGCGTTCAGGATTTACAGCCTATTCGTGAACAAATTCAAATTTATGTTAAATCTTTAATACTCGTGGGACATCCTTTTGATGGTTCTCCTATACAAGATGATGATTTACGACAAAGCCTTTTACCTCCTGTAACTAATATAATCCGAAAAGAGGATACAGTTGACCAACATACTCCAATTCTCGTAGAACTCACAGAAGCGGAGATTGATAAAATTGAAAAGGACCGGGAGAGAGATGCTAGGTTTAAAGACAATTTCTTTATATCAACGATAAATCCGAATTATCTATAATTTACTTATTTATTTAATTTTTAATAATAGACGTAAACGCCGACAAACTCGTGGAAGGCGTGGCGTTATTTTGCCGGATAGAGAACCTCCTAAGACACACAGAACCTTACTCCATAGCACGACTATTATTCCTGATCCCACGGATGAAAGTGGTTTTATTACCTTAATTTCATCTGGGATGCCACCGGTCATGCGTAAGGCGAGCTCTATGGGGTATGACAATTATTCTGCTATTTCTGAAAAAGTTCCCACACCTGGTAAAGTTCGCGGACGTGGACGTACAGCTGGGAGTGGCCTACGTAGTATTATAAGCGTAAACTCTCCAGATATTACCGATTTAAATAATACTGGAAGATCTGGCTCAGTTGGTCCGAGTTCACAAGGAAGAGAGTCGAGAGATAGTTTAAAAAAATCAAGTCGACGTGAGTCAGTTTCTGGATTATGACTTTTTAACTTGAAAAATAGCTGAAATTATTTAATATTAAGAAATAACTTAATTTTTAATTCTTATTATTTAATTTACTGCAAACTTGCAGGTACGGGTAAAGAATCAGAAGAATGGCATTGTGATGGTTGCGGATGTCCACAAACGGCGACACCGCTGTTACGTAAAGGGCCTAACGGAGATAAGGTATTGAATTTATATTAGCATTTTTGTTTATATTTTATTTAAATATTTAATTACTTTGTTCGTTATAATCTATTTAGACACTATGTAACGCGTGCGGTAAGTCCCTGGATACAATGAATAGTTGGAATCACCCAAAAGGTTTTACCGCATAACTTGGCCAGTTTTTGTCATTTTAATTTGTATGCATTCACACGTGTCAAAACTTTTCCTAATCGTCAGGCCTCTACTTTCAAAAGAACAATACTCTACGACCAATTTCCCAAACTACGAATGAGGACGAGCTCGGTCTAATAAAGCAAGAAACCAACCAATCGATGGATAAACCACTTCAACCTTCACAAGACAATCTTTCAACACCAAATCAACCGTTCGATTTTACAATCAATGATAAACAACCTAATACACTGAATGAACAAAATTTAGTTTCTAAGCAACAATTTGAAACAAGAGAAAATCAAAATTTAGCACATTCTCCAGGCAATGCTCTTAGTATTTTTGAATTTCTTATTACTGTATTAATGATAGCAAATGCTAATATATGTTCCCATATTATTTCACGTTTATAAATTTACTGTCTACTATTGTACCAACCGCGTTTTACAGTAACTTCTGCTAAATCGCCTGTAACCACTCCTAACACACCATCAAACAAATCTGTAATTTTTTTTTCATTTTAAATCTTATTTATGGGAAACTGTTGTTTCATTAAGTTTTTGAACTCCATATAAAAAAGATGCTATTGCTTTCATAATTCGCTCAATATTTATGACGTTAATAGCCAACTTTATAATCATAGGTCTTTCCGGAATGGATAATTCAGCAACGTGAACAGTTGCAGCAGAAATATCCCCGTGATCGTTTCGAAATTGTTCAAAAATCTGAAAATTTCCGAATTAAATGTTCCGATTGCCCGGGTAGGCTATATCAACCTGGACCTGGATTGTCATTGGAAAATTTTGAAATCCATTTAAAGAATAGAGATCACCGCTTCAATGTAGAAAAACGTCTAAACCCAGATTGGACTTCTCACGTGGCCGAAACTAGTGGTTCTGTTATCGATAATGGTGGTACTATTCCAGGTACTATTGACGCTAGTGAATTTTCATCTCCCGTTTCAGGTACTGGTGATCCATTCACTAGTATTAATACCAATAATAGAACCATTGGCTTAGCTGAAGGACCTATCACTTCAAATACTCCAATGAGATCTGATTTTTCAAGATTACATTCATCAAGTTCACAATCCTTGGAGATGCCAGGAACAGAAAGTGCGAGGTCTAGTAGAGGAGGTATGGAAATAACTAGCAGTATAAATGATGTTAATAGTCCAGGGTATGAGGTGGCTGCTGTAGAAGTCTTCATCGATAACAGTAATGGTATTCCTCACACCTAAAATAGAAGCTTTTTCCTCAAAATCAAAAGGTCCCTTATGAAATTGATGCTTTCAAATTGGAACAAGCCACAAAGGTAATTGGATTATTTTTGTACCAACAAAAAAAAAAAAGATTATTTATTTAATTAGCTTTTATTTTTCCTTACATCAATTTCTTTGTATAAAAGTACAGTATATATATATTTTTATATCCCTTAATTTGTTATTAATACATTTCATTTTAAAAGATAAATTTTGTAAATTTAGATTGTTAGTTTTTAATATATATTATTTCAAAAAATTTATTTATATAATTTGGTAATTAAAATAATCTTTATGATAAAAACATTTTAATATATATATTATATATAATTTTTTTAATTTTAACTGGTACTGTAAATTTATAATACTAAATGTATAAATTCCAATATTAATTATTTTAACCAATATTATATAAGCAAAAAAAATTGGTAAATTTTATAATAAAAAATTCTGATTATTAAATGATAAAATATAAAAAATACCTATTATAGAAATATTACATTATATATAAAAATCTTAAAATTTTAATATTTTTAATTTTTTTTTTGGTTTTTGCAAATTATTTAATGAGTATTTAATGTAACAAATAAATAATTTATTACAATATAATATATATGTAAATTTGTATTACTTATTAACATAAACTAATATTGTAAATAAATTAAAATTTACTTATAATAAATAAAATCTTTAAACTATATAAAATTAATTTTACTATAAATGCTAAATTTGAAACTTCTGAAATTTCTGAAATTTTATAATTTTCAAATTAATTAGCTAATTTTTATAAAAATAATTACATTTAACTAAAAGGACAATTCCTTTTCCTAATATTTATTAGAATTAGAATTAGAATTAGAATTAGATTAAAATTAGATTAAAGATTAGATTTATTTATTACAATCTATGATCTTTATTTTTGTTAATTAATCTGGAAATTTTGAAATTTTTTGTTATTAAAAATCTTATTTATTATTCCTATAGAAGAAATTTCACCTTCAGTTAAAATTAAAAATTTTCAATTTTTATTTATAGAATTTATATTTTTTTATTTTTAAATAACTGCAAGATCACAATACATTTGATAGTTATTAAAGTTATAAAGAAAAGAAAATATAAATATGATCCAATAATTCTAACATTATTAATAACCAAACCACTTATTATGTTAAAAAATACTTCATATATATACTGTCAAATAAGTTTAAATTCAATAGGTAAAATTCAGTTTGCCATTAATTTAACTCTATTTTAAAATATTTAGCTTTCTATTTTTTATATTTATTTAAAATTTTGCTAAATTTACTATACTATTGCTAAAAATTTCAGTTTTATTACCAATTTTTCAGTTTTGTTATTGACTAAACTATATACTATAGACTATAGTAATAATTTTTAATTTTAATTTTAATTATATAAAATTATAATTTTATTATAAAAAAATATAAAATTATATTATATATTATCAATGTTTTTAAAAAATATTATATTTTAATATAAATTTATATATAATAATTTTATAAGCAATTATTAATAATTAAAAATCTATGGAAATCTATAAAAATCTATAAAAATATTATGGAATATTGAATTTTGACATTTTGTCTTTCAATTTTAAATTATGGCAAAAATATTTATTGCTTTTCATTAATGATAGCATAGAATAGATATGAACAACATTGATTGGATAGCAATATAATAAATTTATTATTTAATATATTTTTACTATATTATATTTATTAATTAAATCTTACAATTTTAAACACTAAAAATTCTATAATACTATTTTATTTTATAAATTTATAAGTAAATAGTATCTAGCTAAAAAACTGAAACCTAAAAATAGAGAAAAGTTGGTTAAAATGAATTAATAAAAAGAATAAAAAGAACAAAAAAATAAAACAAAAAAGAAAAAAAAAACATATTTTTATTAATTAATTCTTTTTATGAAAAGTAGACTAAAAATGCTTAAACATGTTGATGGTTTATTATATAGTATTATTTGATTTTTAATCAGCTTATTTTAAAGATATTCATAATTTTTTTAATTTTTCTTTTTCCAGTATTGCAATTTGTTATTTTAATCCTTTGCAGTTAATTTATAGAATTAGATAAGGTTTTGTAATTTAACTGAAAAACTGGAACCTAGAAAGAAATAAAATTAAAATAAAGTAAAAATAAAAAAAAGAACAAAAAATAAGAATCCACCTAAAATTTTAAAGTGCTAAAGTTATTGAAGAAAGAGTTAAAATCTAAGAGAAAAGAAGAGTTGGTTAGAATGAAAAAACAAAAAGAAGGAAAAAAAAAAAACATATTTTTGAATCAAAAAGCCAAAATACTAAAAAATTGAAAATTTAAAAAGAAATGAAATTAGAATAAAGTAAAAATAAAAAAAAGAGAATGAAAAATAAGAACTCATTTGAAATTTCAAAATGCTAAAGTTGTCAAAAAGTTAAGAATGAAGTTAAAAAATGAAAAATTCTTTTTATTTAAAATTCTTTTCAAAATTTTTATTTTTTGTTTTTTCTCTTATTAACCATTTTTTTTTATTTTAAAAAAAACACTTTTTTTTCCTTTCTCTTTTTGCATCATTAGTTGTTCCTCTTATTTAAAAAAAAATATATTTTTTTTCTCATCAACTATTCAAAAAATTATTATTTTTTTTCTTCTTACTTTTGTTTAAAAAAATTATTTTATTTCATTTTTCTCTAACAAATAAAAAAAATGAAAAAAAATTCATTTGTGAAAACTGACCAAAATAAAAACTATATGCAAATTATTATGGTACTACTGTATTTGAGAGATCATTTGAGGGTTTTTTAGCCTGCTAATGAAATGCACCATTTTAAGACTTCTATATGATAGACTGCATTATAAAGGTAGGGTATATACATAGTAAAAGTGTTGTACTCTTATTATATAATACTTAAGATCTTGTGATATTGGAAGATAGTAGTAATATATCATTGGTTATAAGTAGTTGGATGAGAGTAGGGTTGGTAAAGTCAGTCTTAATCCAGACTTAATTCTAGGACCTATAAATCTTATTACCGTAAAGTTCTAATTATAAGCATTCCCTGAATATAAACACTCCCAGATTTTTATATTATCTGAAAGTATAAAGCATCCTTAACTAACACTATGATAATTTTAGCCAATAATACAATATACAAATATATAAATTTATCCAAATATAAGCACCCCTATAATAAAAAAAGGTTGCTTATATTCAGAACTTTATGGTATATGGATCTGAAGACTAGATTCACATTATGAGTCCTAGTAGTTCAGACTTAATTTAAAATCTAATTCAAACCTAATTTGAAAATTTTATTTATTTTTTTAATAAAATTATAGCTTATATTTACTCATTAATTATTATATAAATTACAAATAAGTATATTTTTACTATTAATCATTTATTTATTATACCAATCATATGTATATATCTATCTATTAAATACAAATAATAATGAAATAATACTAAAATTTCAAAAGGACAACTCTTTCTAACGATCACCATGTCCATTTTTTTTGCAGAAAAATAATTTTATTTTTTATTAAAATAACGCTTAAATATGGAATACTTGAAGAAATACACTAATGTTATTGACCTTAAACAGGTCACTGAACGTAACGTTAATGGAAAGAGCTTTCTGGAAATACTAAGTATTGCCTTTCAAAAGGTAGAACTCACCAGACTAACCACTATTCAAGAATATGTAGAGCATATTTTACTGACTGAAGAATACAACAATACTGAAACTTTTATTAAAGACCACAAGCCAGTACTTAAGGAATTTGATATGAAAAATGAAGTTCAACTCACTTACTTGTTGTTTACTTTTGCCGCTGTTGCCAACAAGTATGAAGTCTCTTTGAAGAATTACATAAACAAAATAATCCAAGAACAAGTGGCGCAGTTTGAGTCAACAGAATTAGCCAATAATACGCCAGTATCAACACAAGTACAGCAGATGGATATGGAAACTTTGAAAACGTTAAACACCAATTAATGGATGTGGAACATAACGATCAAAACACTGAACACCAATCAAAAGACATGATACCTGAATCTTCAACAAAGAACTCTAAAAAGAGTTCCACAAAATTGAACACCAAAGCCATACCCTATACTCCTAAAGGAAAAGGTCATACAGTTACATTTGCAGAAATAGTCTCCAGAAATTTAGATGTAGGCAGCAACCATGATACTTCTCCAACTCCTTCCAGTAATAGGCTAAAAATGAACGTGACCAAGCGTATAGTGTCTGATAGTAAGGCTCAACCAGTTAAGAAGAAACAACAACGCGCTTTTCCAAAAGAAATACAATCAGTAATGACCAGATATGATCCAGTACTTAAGCAAAAATTACCTTCTTGACCCTCCTCGTATTACTTTCTTGACCCGATCAAAATATGCATGATTATGTATGACAAAAATATTTTTTTCTTGACCTGAAATGTGATAAAAAATTATGTGATAAGTAGCACAGTATTAGTGATAACTGCGTTACATAAATAATACGTGTTACATTTTATTATATAATGCAACTCTTGACTTTTTCTTTTTATACAATACAATGAATAATAGCAACTTTGAAAATTTTATTGAATATAATACTGCTGAAAATTCTGTTAATATTCCATTTAGTCAGACTGCAGAATATTATCTAAAAAATCATCCTTTGCTTAAAAATATTTGTTTAAAAAGTCAAAGTTGAAAGAAAACTCCTGAATTAGTTAAAGAAGGAATTATCACAATTGAACGTGTTGAAGGAGCTGTTGATTTTATTGAATGGCGAATAAAGACTGGTCAAACAAAATCAACTAACCAGATTGATGATATAGTTAAATTAACAGAAAAGGGAGAGGAACTAGTTAAACAAATTGAAGCAGGAGTAAAAAAAGATAAACTATGCTGGTTTTGGGTAATATATTGTGCTGAGATGGTAATTCTTGTCAATATGAATGTGGTGGAATTGGTAAATACATAGAAGGTTGTCAAAATGAAGCATTACCAAATAATCTAAAAAACTATAATGATATGTATTTGTGCAAAGTACGCATCATTTCAGAAGTATATTTATCTAAAATTGATCATCCATGTCCTCTTAAAATAAAAGTTTTAAATAGCCATTTACCATCCAATATTCTTACAACACATACACTACAAATTAACCGGTTGAGTTTAACTAGGCAAGTACGTGATAATATTATAATAAACTGTAGAGCAGACCATAAAATAACAAAAATATTAAAGCAAAAATGTTGGCTCCTTACAATGGTGCTAACGAAGAAGATTTGCGAGAAGCATTACATAATCAAAAGGAATTATGTGAGGATAAAAAATTGTATAGGTTTTTGGTGCATGATGATAGACGAACTAAAGAAAATGCAGGACTATAGACAATCTTACACTATTTAGTTAATAAAATACTTAAACCAAAGGGAAATGTTCTTTATTATCAACAATCCAATTTATCATCATCAGAAACGAGTTCAGAACGTTTTTATTAATTAACATTATCAAATCAATTATGGTTAAAAAATGCTCAAAGGTATAGAAAATACTGTATTGAAGTTGATAGCAAGTATGACTTAAATAGTGATCGCGCACCAGTACTTGCAGTTGTAGCCAAAAATGATGCTAAATTTGGTACACCATTAGTATTTAGTAAGAAAAAAAATTGAAATTTTACTTTAAATTTGTGGATAATTTATTTATGTATTTATTTAGGATTATCTAATAAAGAAAATAACTGGATAACTAGTATTACGTTGAAATCATTGAAAAATAATATACCATACAATGATTCAAATTGTGAACATAAATGATATTATGAAGATTTGCCAAATGAAAAAGGTTTTTAAAGGATTACAGAATGCGCCAAAAATCACAATTGGATTCTGTTGGTAATGATAGATAAACATTAAGTCATTAACCAACTAAAATAGCCACTGAAAATGTGTTAGACCACACAATTTTGTGTTGATTTTATATCATGCAGACATTCGGTGAAAACCTGAATAATTGGAAAGTACCATGGCCATTAAGGTATACACGTTTTTATTCTAAGAATTTATGTTATAATTTATTTATATTTATAAATTTTATTTTTATAGATACCCAATAGCATTGGCATTTAAAATAGTTGGTAGAAGTAGATCTATAGAGTTAGCTAAAGAATTAGGACCATTATATTCAGAATTTATTAATTTGCTGGATATTACACAGGAATTAAAAAACAAATTAGTTAAAGATCTCTATAACAATTGGATTTGTAATAAATGGATTTTAAGTTTTATAGATGCTGGAAGAATTCTTGAAAATCCAAGTATAATGCATATTATGACAACAAATAATTACACGGAAAGACTAAATCGTACAATTGAGTCTCAATATAGTGGTACAAGAACAGTTGTCAATTTTATTGAACGATTGTATGGCATTCAATTACTTCGAGAAAATTTAACAGATAAATGCAGCAATTTAAGGTTTGAAGCTGGACTTGCAACAATATTTGATATGCAAACAATTGAACAGGTATTGTCATTACTACATTTTATATTTATTTATTTATTTATTATAAAAATAGTTCTTTTTTTAATAGGAATCACAAGCTATGCATATCGCATCAGATAAATTGCGCAGAATAAATCATGGAAGATTATTATTTCTGTTGGATTACGTTAAATGCACTGATATTGATGATTATTTTTATGTAAAAAAGGGAAATAATCCATTTGCATTAGAATCTTCATATAACAATGAATTAATTCGGCTGGATAAGGATAATTTAAACTTGCTTATTCCGTTGCATAACAAGCTAATGGAATAGCACTTAAACAAGATCCTGGATTATTTGGAACATTATGAATATTATTTAATCAATATAAAAACAGGAGAATGTACATGTTTTGATTATGTATGGAATGGTCCATTCAGAGATGTCTGCAAACACTGTCATGCAGCGTCAATTTTTAAAGAATCAATTGGAGTTTCAGATCTATTATTGTTTAAGCAAGAAGTTAAAAAGGAGTTAGTACAATATTTTAAAAATAAGCAAAGAGTATTACCCACAGAATCAAAAAATCTAGTGATATATAATGGTGATGTTGAAGCTGCATATTCAGAAATAATTGATTTATATAAAACTCATGGTAGTATTTTAAAAAGAATTTAAGCTTAGTAGTTCTAATAAATTAATCTAGCTAATTTTATTTAGGTATATCGATATTTAAATCATACTCCCGACCAAATGAGAATAATAAAGATCCGTTCCAGCCTGTAGAACTTGATTATCATAAAGGTAATAATGGGGCACCTCCGAAATCATCAGCAAAACCAAGAAAACCAAATAGGATTCTTAAAACTACTGAACGAAATATTCCACCTTCTGAACAAACAAGAAGCACAAAAAGAATTAGAAAAAAATATTAGGGATGCAAAGGTATTATAAATTTATTAAAGTAATTAATTACAAATACGGTTCTTTCTAATAATACTTAATTTAGGAAAACATTAAAAATATCAAAAATCCATATAAACCTTTAACTGTATTACCCCTTCAAGACACTCAATCAACAATCATGCAATCTTATTCGCGAAATGACTATATTCAGCCTTTACTATCTGTTTTACAATCAATACAAACTTCCATTGATTTTTCTTATATATTATCTCCTACAAATTTACCAATTTCATTTCCTAGTACCGTACCGTACTATTCAAATTTTACGGTACCATCAAACAATTGTCCACCTGATCAAAATCCATATTCTCTTTCACCTACATATCTTTTTAATTCTAGCTCATTTGCTACATCTCATAATAGTAGTATAATTGCGTCCGCCATCCAGTACTTTGAATTTCTCAAGTTCTGATAATAGACAAGAAGAAAATAGACTTTACTATTATATTTAAAGAATATTAAAGCCTTTAAATGTTTTATAAAATTAATAAAGNAGAATATTAAAGCCTTTAAATGTTTTATAAAATTAATAAAGTCTGTTAAATAAGTTTTTTCCAATATACAACAAAAATAAAAAAAAAATAAAAAAAAAAAATTTTTTAAAATATCGGAAATGTCTATTAATTATCACTAATACTGTGCTACTTATCACATAATTTTTTATCACATTTCAGGTCAAGAAAAAAATATTTTTGTCATACATAATCATGCATATTTTGACCGGGTCAAGAAAGTAACATGAGAAGGGTCAAGAAGGTAATTTTTGCAGTACTTAAGGATAACGTTCAGAAAATTACTTTATACGATATTCCCTCCACATGGGTTCAACTCGATATTCTTTAGCATCTAGAGAAATGGGATCATGTGATTACTTTCAAGACTAAATGTCAGAAGAAATATTTAACGGTTACCGTTTCAATTAATTTCAACGAATAGGCAATGAACCTATAGAATCAAGAAGTCTGAATCGCTCTTTTAGGAGAACTTCCTATCTGATGGTACCCTGCTAACTGGAATCTTCAACAAAGAAAGGAAAGAGAATAATTTCAGGCTGTAGTGATGGACTTAATTGGAACTGTTACTACTTCAATGCTCTATCCCTCAGATATTTTCCAATCACCCATATATCCCATTTGGGATGCAAAGCTTTCAAGGTGATTCAAGAGAAAAGTACTCGCAAGTTCATCATGTATTATGAAAATTGGGCAGATTTGGATAAAATCACTAATACCAAGTTGAACTTGCAAGAATATGAAGGTGTTTGGATTAGGTATTTCTCTCCTCAACTATCTAAAGGTCGTAATCAATCACCAAGAAGTGGCCGTACTCAGAAGCAGAACCAAGACTTGGCTAACAAGATTGGACCAAATACTATAAATAACAAGAATAAGGAGGGCAAATCTAACAGAAAAAAACAAAATTCTTCTACTTTAAAGAATTTGAAGAAAGGTTTAAATGGTAGCGAAACTGGAAAACTTACATTGTTAGCAGAAATCAGGTCACTACTAAGAAGGCTTGAGAACTGATAGGAGGCCTGCTCGTCTTATAGTGACTATAGGTAGAATGTGAAAGACACTATATTGAACTTTGTATTTGTAGAATACTAATATTTTTTTAGTTTACCCTTATTTCTTTTTTTTTATTTTTTTACTCTGACTTTCTGTTGTTGCTCCTTTTTTTTTCTTTTTGTGTTCGAGTTCAGGTTTCGTATGCAGTAGCAGTAAGTTTTTGGGGCACTCATGGTGTAGACTGAAAGGAGAGCATCTCTCTAAGAAAGGAGACCTACAAGGTATACTTACTCCCCTAGCCTAAATCCTTCACTGACAGTGCACACATGGTTACTCCGTCATAAGTTAGCAAGTAGTTTAATTCTTAGTGTTTAATTAGAATTTTTAACTAGTTCTATGTGTATTGTATTAAAACTGGTTTTCATAAAAATCTTAATAAAGAATTATATACGTTGCAGCAAAATAAAAAAAAAAAAATACTAAAATTTCACCAATATTATTATCAATCTAGCTTTTTGTATATAATAATGCTTTGCGGTTTCTAAATATAACCTATTTTGAATTTTAATTATTATATTTTCTGTAACAGAAAAAATTTGTTCACAAATTACATTTATTGATTGTATTGCCAAATAATCTCTCATCATTAATAAGAATATTAAAAACTCAGCAGAATGGACTTGTTATCAAAAGAAGTGCTGAAATATTTTCATCAACTGGTAAAATTAAATATTATTCTATTTCTGCAAAATCAGAGTTGACTGGTATAATGGTATTTGTTCTGTATTAGCAGTTACTTTTAATTAACATTTTTTTAGTTGGTAAAAATATTCTCATGATAATATAGAACTTTTTTATATGAAGAAATTTTAATTGTAGTCTTTAGATAAAATATGAAGAAATTTGATTTTTAAAGATATTTATCATATTGGTAGTTAGCTTACCTAATTTGAAAAGTGAAGTTTTGATTTCAGAATCTAATATTAATACAATAGTGATCACATTATCAAGAATTATTATAAGTCTTTATAAATATTTGAACAATATTAATTAAATTTTTGGATAACCATTTTTTTTATTTGATGATGATTAGGAACTTTGTAGCAAGGATCAAAAATGCTCATTGCTTTAATAAAATTTTCACTTTAAATAACATTAAAGAGTAGTTACTTAGAAATTATTCAAATAACAATTACTTCATCTCATTCTAACTTTTTTTTTGCAAGTCAAGGATTTATACACTTAAACTTTAAAGTTATTTGCTTGACTTTTGAAATTACTATTATATTATATTTATTTAATAAATAGTATTTAATACTAGAGTTACTTTGCTGAAACTTGAAGTTTACAATCGATATTGATTAGATATCGCAATGATATTATTATGATATCATTATGACATTTTGATAAAAAAATAGATTCAACATTGTTAAATTAGTCGTAACTGTATTTATTCGACATTGATTAGTTCAATATCTCTGCGATATCGCTGTGATCATTATGCGATATAAATATTATCACGTAACAGGACCCCGGAAACTTATAATTGAACTTCCGGGTAATCTCAAGGGTAAACTTCATATAAAAAAATTCTGACGCTCATATGATATACAGGATAAAACTTATAGGACAAAAGAGACAACTCTGATTTTTTTAGGGGTAAATGGTTTTGAAGTCACAAGGATACATATGGGTAAATTTATTATTGCGTAAAATCATGTCTGTACTAATAGATGGGTAAATCAAATATTATATAATCTACATATATATATATATATATCGTTAAATTGATTATCAAAAATAATCATCTTTTTTTTTCTCAAATAAAAAAAATGAGTGAACGAAATCCAAAAAGACGTAAAACTACACAAACTACACTTAATTTTGTACCAGAATTTTATACTATATCTATTCCTAAAAGTCAAACTACTAATATTCAAAAGCAAAAATTAACCAATAATGTACAAAAAAGTCTTTTTGATTTTTTACCAAATATAAGTACTAAAAAAAAACATTCTATTAAAGAAATTAATGTTAGTAGCGATGATAATTCCAATAGTAATGATGAGAATCAGTTTGAAAATAGTGAGGATGATGAAAGTAGTGATGATAGTGCGAGTAGTTCTGATTATGAATTAAATGATGAGTTCGTTAACTTTTCCCTAAATATTTGCTAAAAAGAAAAAAAATTGCGACGCAATAAATTTTTTCTTCAACTAATAACACCTAAACTTGTAAGATGTCAGTGTGGTAAGGAAGTTAAATTAGATAGAAAATATCGACCAAAAAATTTAATTTCTCATGCAAAAAGTAGTAATTGCCAAATTCGTAAAGATATGAGGTGTTATTTCTTTTTACAAATGTGGAAAGAATATTTACTACAATGTAATGAAATATATCAGAATAAATGGTATTTAATATCTAAAACCTGTATTTCCATGCAAAGTTTTAAGATATTTACTAGTTTAGCAGAATCCATGTTATTATTAATATTGGCATATAGAAAATATTATTTGACCTTTTCTTTTTTTTCTTGGGAACACGGTACTAAAGCTATTGAACATGTTTTTGGACTTGCTAGACAAATTGTACTAGATTTTACTTATTATGAATTTTATAAAATAATAAATAAAGTTATGTATAGAGATAAAATATTAAAGCTTGAAAATTTAATTAATCATCAAGATAAAACATCTGCACAAGGTATTATAATATTTATATATTATAATTTATATTAAATTTATATAATTAATTTTCTTTAATTATTTAGGTTATATTTTTGATATTGATGATAATATTTTATTTCAAAATGAAATTGAATTATTAAGATGCTAGCCAAGTGATGATGATATTGGTGATGCTATAAGGATAGCATATATTAACGTGTCTTCATTTATGAATTTACTTGGAATTAAAAAAATAAATCAAGAATCATTAAGATTAGTTGATAGTTCATCGGATTTGAATGAGAATGATAATGGCGAACACAATAATTTAGAACTAATAGAAGATCAAAATCAAATTGATAATGCAGCATCTGAGATTGTAAGGTTATCAAAATTAGATGAAAATTTGAAAATATTTGATACTATACGAAGTAATGATGATGATGAAAGTAATAGTGAAGGAAGTGAAAATGAAAATGAAAATAATACAATAGATGATTCACATTTAAATTTTATAAAAGCAACTGAAATCTAATACTTATTAGAGAATAATCAACCAACTTTCATTAATCCAACTGAAAAAGAACTGGAAGAAGAAATCTTTAGAAATAATAATTTACCTGATGTTTATCAAATTCTTAGTATTAGAAGATCTCATGATGCATATTCACGTTCGGATAGAATTCGTGGAATTAGACAACAGCCTGGTATTAATTTAAACATCGGTTCTAATGATAATGTTGATAGAAATACTGCAAATCATTTAATTACTCAATTAAATAGCAATGATTTAAATAGACAGACAGTCAATAATAGAACTAACAGATGGTTAGAATGAAAAAGAATGGAGAATATGATATCTAATCAAAATATATTAAATAGTTAAGTATAATAGGCAATAATTTATTATACAATTTTAAAAATAATAATAATTTTTTATTTTAGATATTAGCTGTGCTAATGTTTTCCAAAACAATCCTTTGGAAAAAGATGGATTTTTGATTATATTTTCTGACCAGAAATTATATATCAGAATAGTAATAACTATATATGAAAATATTAGTGGGAGACATGAATATATTTCACGTAATATCACAAATATTGATGCAATATCATATATATCATTAGTATCTTTATTTATTGATGTTTATAATGGATCATTTTTTACAAACAATTGCCAAATAGGTGGAAAATTATTTGCGCATATTATCCCTAAAGAAGTGATATATTATTTTGAAAAACCTGATACAATCACTTTTCAAAATAATTCTATACTTACTTTAAATGAAGAAGCTCTACGAATTTATAATTTTTTTAATAATTCTAATGCCCGTAAATAACTTACTTCAATTTTTCATAGTTAAAATAGTAATAATGTAAATGAATTTTAATATAAATAAAACTTAAATGTCACATTTATAGTAAAGGGTAAAATATATAATAAAAAAATTGAACTTTATACTATATAAGGGTAAAACTGATAAGAAAAGCATTGGGTAAACCATTTAGTAAAATTTTCGAATTTTGCCTGGGAGTTCAATTATAAGTTTCTGGGTCCTCATGTAACCATATCATAGTACTAATTCGACACTAACAATAAACAATAATTTTGTGATCCTTCTATATCGAAGTCAAATCCGGTCCAACCAATAATCTGGAGCAGTGATCATTAGTGCAGAATCACATTTTTTAGCAATAGATAAATACTTCTATCCCGCTCTATTTGTTTTCTAATTGTGGTACAGATGCGGTGCTCCTATTTTATGGAAACACATTGAGCTGTGATAAATCAAGTGAAAAGACAGATATATAACATCAGGCATAGTGTTAATAATAATCTAAATTCAGTTTTATCTCAATTATACCAGCAACTTAATTCCAATATATCTATGATAATAGACTCTGGTGCTGATCATTTCACTATAGCTATAATCAGATAAGCACCAAGGAATTATTTAGTAGCATTACTTGACGATCAAGCAAAATGGTAGAACTCTACCGATCTAACTAATCTGGAGCAGTGACCATCAGCTTGAAGGGTCACTTTTATATGACAAAAAAATATAGATTAACTAACTTATACTAGACATGTACACTGGTTTGTGCCAGCTGAATTTTTTACGAAAATATCGTACAATTCTTAAGGAGTGCTTTTCGGAAATTACGGGACTATTTTCTAGGGTTAAATTTAAACATATAAAGATATCCTATTGCATTTTTATTAGCTTCTATTTCACTTATTTCTCGATTAATATAACTATTAATAATCAAGAAGATCTTGAATTGTGCTTATATCCCATTCCAAATATAATAGTAAATAATAAATTTTTCCAAATGGCATTTTTCCAAATGTTACATCCATAAGATCTTGCATATTTTGATGCAATATTGTAAGAATGGGGTGGACATAGATTAAAGCTGCCACCTGAAATTATTTCCTAATTCCAAAATAATTTCGGCCAGAATTTTGTTTCCAAAACTAATTCTGAAATCCCGAAATTCTTCCGAAATCCCAAAATCTTTCTAAAACTCCCGAAATTGTCCGAAACTTCTGATTGGCCTATTATAAAATCACATGACTTTATAAATTTGCTAAAATTTTATCTGTATTTTAATTCCATAATTCTGGCTCTGTAGCGATCTTTCTGACACGTGTAGCTTCATTTTAAGCCTATGTTCACTTTGTATAACATTAGTGCATAAAGACGCATAATTTCCTTATATAGTATATATATTACACAAAGCGAACATAGGCTTAAATAGATCGCTATGGAGCCAGAATTATGGTATTAAAATACAGTTATAATTTTGGTAAAATTTTTAATTTTGGTCACGTGATTTAATAACAGCCAATCAGAATTTTGGAATAGTTTCGGCATTTTAAAATTAAGTATTTTTCCTAAATTAATTTTACCATTTCGGTTTCGGCAAATGGTAAAATTCCCTAATTTCGGGCGGCAGCTTTACCACAAATATCGATTTTCTCATATATCAGTTTTAATTCCTCCACCAAATCAAATAACAGCCCAAATGAATCTTTAAGTGTCTTTTTTTTCTTGCTTTGATTCAATGCTGTTTTATTTGTATTGCCATTAATAGATGGGGGTGGTCTCGGATGAGACTCCATCGCCATACCGAGTTTTTTCTGAATAGCTATTATATCTTTCTTCTTATATAAAAGTACTTCATATAAAAGTTCTTCATGTAGTTCATTATATAATTGAGCATCGTCTTGATCAGAATTATTATTAGTATTGCTTGTCATGATTGTGTTTATCTCTGGTTAGCATATATTCAAATTTGTGTTCAGAATATTGATCATCAACCCAGAGCGGTAATCGCCAGTTCAGAAGACTTTTTACTGGACCACGTATTGTGAAACAAAAAATAGGCTAATCATATAATAGGTCTGTGCATCATATTAATTTTTGCATATAACGAAAAGAAAATATATATGCTAAGTCCCTCTATTTTTTTTTCCAAACAAATGTGAGAAAATGTGAAAGAGTGTCTAGTTGTAACACAGGACCTACTGTAAAAGTAAATATTGATGGCAAAAGCATATGTTATGAAGGGCTGAAGGACTCGCAATTTCAAGATCGTCAGGCATAGAATCAAGTTTGTGTCATTTTGGTAGATCTACATGTGAAAAGGTATGAGGATTCCATTTACATGTGCTTTTGTCTTAACATCTTCGGCCATAGAATTTTTAGTATTATACAACAATACTAATTACGCCTCATACCTCCTTATCTTTTTCCAGCAAGATATAAAGCATAAAGGGTATGTAGAAGTTCAATCAACTTTCTGCCAAAAACTTTTCCAGAGAAAATAATGCAAATAAGGTATGTATATACCAGAAGTTGTGTATGTATGGGGACAAGTTTTCTCACTATGGGCTCTTGTATTTTAGAAAACGAAATATAGGCAATATTATTGACTTCAGATTTAAACTTTACGATAAATCGGATGACGAAATCTTCATAATTAAAATAGCCAGTCAAAGATGCCATACCCACCATTAAAAAAGGAATGGAAACACTTTATAAGCAGGTTCCTGATGAGATTAAGCTTTGTGTTGATAATCCAAAAGAGCTGACGACAGAGTTGAAACCAAATGATATGATTTTTAAGCATTTTAATATCAATCATATCAAAGAGGGTCTCATCCTCATATACCCTGTCCTAAAGCTTCCCAGTAGTTAGATTTTTTATCTATATTCCATTATCATACCATGTAATAGTTTTTATGTATTTTAGGCTGGCTACTGGCAACGTTTTTTATTTTATAATAAAGTATTATTTTATCGAACGTATATGAGAAATAGATCACATGAAATGATACAATGCCTGTGCGATATAAAAACCTATATTAACACTTGCATTCCCACCAGAAATAAAAACTCTATTCCCCTCTGAACGTAACACTATTTTTTACCAAGCCAAATATTCCTATAAAAATGTAATGCTATGTCTGAAACTAGTACACCTTATACTCCAGCTTCCACCTCCACTACTGTTGCTGGAAATGAGACAGTTACGCTAATGGACAAAATTAAGAAAGATGATACAGTCAAGCTTATAGAATTTTTGCAGAAATAGGAGAACTTAGGACTTAACAAGCCAGCTATTAAAATCTTAGAGAATGAAGAAGTTAACGGCCTGGACTTCTTTGACTTAATTCAGAAAGAGCTTGAACGTCATGGAATGAAATTGGGGCTAGCTAAGAGGCTCGTGAAGTTTGCTAAGGAGTGTAAGGATAAGAAGTTGAGAGCTTTTTCAACATATAAAACAAAGAAAGATTTAAGAAAGGTGTTACGCAAATATGAAATCAATAGCAGTAAAATAACAAAAATTCCGCCTTTTGAGCCAAAACCTGTGGAAATTGACAATAAAGACGAAGAGCTTGAGCAGTGTATAACAGAAATAAAGCGCAGGATGGGAATTATAAGTTCAGCAACCAGTAGGAATGAGGCTATGTGTTGCAAGTATATTTTCCAATATTATATGCATCCATCTATATTGCCAAAAGAATCACTGAGAAAGGAATTACCATGAACCTCCAGTTCGAAGTTGTAGGTAATGAAGCATCAGGCCGAGTTGATTACGCAATCAAGAAAGTAATAGATGTCGTCAATGAGGAGTTGGTAGCCATAATAAAGGGAAAACAAAAGGATTTGGTGGCGGAATTCATGTAGAACATAATGCAACTCAAAAGCTCTCACCATTGTCACCGATACCTGCCACATATCGGCAGACTAAACTCATACTCAGTTTAATATTATGCTTGGTTTAGATTTTATTATCTCTTAACTTCTCGCTCTCTTTCATTTATATCTCTTACATTCTCATAATTTCTCTTATAAACTGCGAGAGTTCTCTTAACTTCTTATTTCAATTCATATAATAATTAAACTGGGATAATTTCCCTTACTTTACTTCTCTGGACTTATACTATAATATTAATTAATTCTCAAGCGTACAATGAGCATATTCATATTTGAATAACTTTTAATAATTAATATTTTAATATTATTTTATTTGAGCCAAAAATTGACTGCGGAATTCCTAATGAATCCCACTTGTATTTATACATGTTAAGAAAATTATTTCTACTATCTACTATTCTTTTTCTATTAAAAATTTTAAGAAAATAATAAGAAATAAAAGATGTATTATCATATGACTTTCTCGTGACTAAACTAAACTATAAATATTATTTATCGGTTAATTATTTACCCATCGGCTAATTATTTATCCATATTATATTTTGATGTTAACTAATTATTACTATCTGATATTAATTTCTGTGTAATCTATTCCATATCTTTAGTTACACCATATAAACACAAGGAAAAGAAAGCATCTGTAGTATTTGATGATGAGTTTGACTATCTCTATAGGATTGTGACCATAAGTAGAGCTTTTCAGTCCTTTATGTGATTTTTTTTTATCAATCATTCGCATATACTAACTCATGTCTTTTTTTGTTTAGCCTTAGACTGGTACTTTCTCATGTACACATCAGAAAGGATTTATTGCTCGAAAGATGACTATCATATAGTACTTAACGAGAAAATAATAAAAGATAATACGGAACTTTGCTGTAGCGTTAAAAAAGTTATGGAGGTAATCATTGGCTTATTGAAGGATAGGGTCAAAGTTGGTGATTCTTCAGATAAAAAAAGAGCAAGGACTAGAGTTCCGAATGGGTCAGGTCAGATCAGGTTAATTGATAAACTTGACCTGAAATTTTTTTTTAAATCAGGTCAGGTCAGGTTATATCAGATTATCTGTTTGACCTGACTTGAATTGAAACCTAAAAATTTTGGGATTTTTATTAAAATATCAAAAAAAAATGGTGCAAACCATTTTTTTTTTGAAATATTACGATTCACATTTTTATATTAAAATAGTATAAAAAGGTGAATCGCAATACCGCAACTAACTTTTTTTATATAAAATCAATATAAAAAGTGAATTCTGATACTGCAATTCACTTTTTATATATAAAATCAATATAAAAAAGTGAATTCTGATACCACAACTAACTTTTTTTATATAAAATCAATATAAAAAGTGAATTTTGATACCGCAATTCACTTTTTATATATAAAATCAATATAAAAAAGTGAATACTGATATCACAACTCACTTTTATTATATAAAATCAATATAAAAAGTGAATTATAATACCATAACTCACTTATATAAAATTATAGTTTCAGGTCAACAGGTCATTTAGGTTATATTGATGTTACAACCTGAACTGATATTGAATTACAATTGATAAACCTGACCTGATAAATTCAGGTCAACCTGTCAGGTTACCTGAATTTGGTCAACCTGTTCGAAACTCTAGCAAGGACAAAAAAATTTATTAAGGAATGGGTATTCGCAGTCATTAGCCTAGACATCATGTATCACAGGCTACGTTCCAAACCTTTGTATTTATTTTTTGTATGTATTAATAAAGCAATTTTACATTTACCATATACATGTAACATTGAATAATTCTTTCGTATATAAAAATATTATCTATCATGTCATCTGATCTTAAAGTATTGATCATTGAACTTGAGGCTAAGATAACTGATGAGAAAGCTAGGTTTGAAGTTTTGATCACTAAACTAAAGCAGGATCAGGCAGAAATAGATGCTAGAATTTTAAAACTAAAGCAGGATCAGGCAGAGAGAGAAGCTAAGAAAAATCGCAAATTCCAGATTAGATATATCCAGATAGCTAAGAAAATTCTTAATGAGGAACCTATTATCAAATATCGTCTTCCTTTCTTAAATGGATTAGAGCTTGATGCTTTCTTTCAAAAATATCGAATTGCATTAGAGGTGTAAGGGCTTAGCATCAACTTCATAACACTAGCTGGTATAGGATGTTAAAAAACTCGAAGATATTGTTAATTGTGATCAGAAAAAAATGATGCATATATCAAGATAAAGGAATTTCCCTTCTTGAAGTATGGTACAATGAAAAACCAGAAATTGTTATTCCTAAAAGGATACAAAAAATTAAGGAGTTTGTTTATCTAATATCCAAAAGTTTTGATATTCAGACTATATTCTATAAAACATTAACCCCTGAATATCTAGATTGGCATACCAAATTAAGTGGGTTACCAAGCGGTTTGACAGATAAAATTTGCTTCAAATTATATAAAAGATATAAGAAAGAAACTGGTCATGAACCATGGTAATTACCAAAAGCTGTGAAACAAACCTCAAGCCTCTAATTTTGAGCCCATCACTTTCGAAGCCAGATCTGATCCAGAATTAATTATCAAATCCATCTTAGAGCACTTCCCATACTTGAAATTCTGAAATAGTTTTAGGGGGATTGATAATTATAATTTTGCATCACTTCAGCCGTAGAGCTCACCATGTCCTATTTGCAATGGAAAACATGGGAATTATGGATTACAAGGTAAATGGTATAGGAATGGAACAGAATATTGTCTTACTTGCTTCACTTCAAGCAATAAAATCAAGTTCGTGATCATAACATACTAGAAATTTCTTCATATACAGTGGGCTGTATTTATTTTTTTTTATCATTCGCGTGTATTAATAAAGTACCATCACGCGATATATAAAATAGTAATGTGATCACGGGCCACGATTACTTTTTTTATATACAGTATTGTAAAAGTTTTTCTGGATAAATTTTTTAGCGATTTTTTTACTTCAATTATGATTGGTTATCTATCACGTGCTACAAAATTTTATATTCATGTTGGCACGTCCGCCGTGCCAGGACCTGGAAAACTATATATAAAGGTTACCGCCAAAAAATCAAAAAAAAATAGGAGTGCGAACCATAATATGATTGGTTGTTTTGCTGTTTACTCACATGTTTCTATTTTAAATATAGTAACACAGGTCGAAAAGTGAAAAATCAGGCATCAATCAGTCACCAATCAGGCAGTTTTCTAACTTTTGATCCAGTGATCAGAAAAGAATGAAATATAGCTCATTGGAATCGTCTCAACAAGACGAATCTAATGGTAGTAAAATCGCATCTCTAGGATTAATAGTTAATAAAAAATTAAATAAAATATAAATGATACATTTTTATTTTTATATTTTACTTAATTTCTCATCAAGTATTAATCCTAGAAATGCGATTTTATTACCATTAGATTCGTCTTGCTAAGGCGATTCCAATGAGCTATATTTCATCCTTTTCTGATTACTGAATCAAAAGTTAGCAAACTGCCTGATTGGTGACGGTATTTAGCGAAAATGCCAATCAGGCACCAATCGGTCACCAATCAGTCACCAATCAGCTACCTGATTGGTGACCGATTGGTGCCTGATTTTTCACTTTTCGAACTGTGTAATAGGGCCAAGAAAGGAAAGATTTTCACAAAAAAATTCTTATTGTTGCGAACCAACACGTGACTTTTACTAATTAATTTGGCGGTGACCTTTTTGAAAATTAATTATAGCCTCGAATCATGTTTGGCGGTAACTCCTATTAGAAGTTTTTCAGATCCTGCTGTGCCATCTTATTTTTCATAAAATTACGGTACTAATACAATGAAGCGTAAGCTTACAGAATATCAATATGTTTGCCAGCATTTGACAGATAGTACATTGGTTGCAAAAAATTTTTACTCGTATTTTGATTATACTTCCTTATCGGATGGCATAGATGCACTTCAGAATATATTAAAATCGTTACGTGACGATGCTAAATTTCGTAACATTGCTGAGGGATATTTGAAGCGAGACAATTTTTTTAGGAACGATAAGATAGATTTTTATTTTATGAGAAAGGAGAGAAAGATGAAGGAGAAGAGGACTACAGAGAAAACGTTAACTATGGCGAACGAAAGAAACGATCTGGCAACTGACATCGTTCACAATAATTTACTTAATAGTTTAAATAAAGTAACAAATAATTTAGAAGAGAACGAAGATGATGCTAAATCAAGTACACCTCCTGTCAAAGTCGATAATAACAGGAATACACAGGCAAATAACTTGCCATGTTATCTTGATCAAATTCCTCTTCACGCTGAATATTCACATATAGTTATATACCATACACTATTATTTGAAATATTCTACTGGCAATTGATACTTCATGTGAAAATGGAAATCTAATCTGATCCTGCAATGTGGAATCTACTATGATTTAAAAATAAATTTTGGTGAACTAATTTTAACATTTTTTAGGTTTTGATTGAGTTCGAAGACTTATATTCGCTTTCTGAAATGAAAGCATTAGTAATTGATATTGAAGCTTGACACAAAGACACAAATGCAAATTTACGATCTTTGAAATGTGACGTTGAACAGTGTATAAATGGAAGCGTAAGTTACGAAAGAACCATGTGGGAGAGGATAGAAATGGAACTTAATAATGTAAATGTAGAAAATCTTGGATTTGATCATCCGATATGTTCAGGAGTCCTCAATATCAAATCAGAATCTTTCACAAATATCCCTAGCTCATTTTGCGATATTTTTAAGGAACCATTTCAAAAATATAAGTTGGATTAGAATCATGTTATATTAGATATTTGTAAAGATTTTATTCAGAAGAAAGAATCAAAGATTAATGAAGATGAGGATTTGGGTAATATTGATTATAGAAAATGGATAGATCATTTCAAAAAGCTTAAAAAAATAACAAAACAGATGTTAGAGTTATTGTAAGTTTATTTTTTTTCATACAGGAATAATGTTTTAATTTGCTTAGAAATCACCAAAATACAAAGCATATATAAAGAAGGAAAAACCAATAAATGAAGGGTCATATGTTTGCAAGGTACTAGCACCATTGATAAACATAGTGATGAACAATTTACCAGAAAAACCAGTAGTATGGGATATATAGTAAGCTTGATTTGAAAAATGCTACCTTTTAACTATCATATACAGTATATAATTATTTTTTTTCCTTAAGGGAGAAGAAGGAAGTTCAGCTAGTGCCATACAAAAAGATTCTCATAAAATTGCATGAAGAGCTGATTATATGGTAGTAGTACAGTTATGAAAAAATGTTGAACTGGAAGTTGTATATCTCAAAACTGGTAGACCTAATTCCACTCAAGATAAGCAACTTCATGATCATAAAAAATTAATATGTTTTTCCAAAGATTCTAATAATACTACAAGAAATGTATTAAAACTTAAAAAAATATTTAACCAATTATCGAAGAGGCAAAATTTAACTATATTCACAATTAATATCGTGGGTAAATATATTATATATGTTATTTCTTTATACTATACATAAAACTGAAATTGGTTGATTTTGACCTCCAAAATGGTTGAAATGGTCAAAATGATTTCGACTTGAGCCCCTCCAAAAGTCGAAATGGTCGAAATTATATCATAGTCATATGATTTTATAGTAAACAATAATATTAAAATTCAAAGTTAACGAACCCCACATTCAGGATTCAATTTTTATGATCTTTACACAGTTGGATTCAGCTCATCAAGAGGATTCCAATGATATGTATTTCATATCTGTACCATCAATATTGACGGAGTTATTCACGTTTAAAATTTGGTATTAAATAGTCTTATAATTTTTATAGTAAGCAATAATTTTAAAATTCAAAGTTAACGAACTCCGCATCCAGTGATTCGATTTTTATGATCTTTACGCAGTTAGATTCAGCTCATCGTGAGGATTCCAATGATATGTATTTCATATCTGTAGCATCAATATTGACGGAGTTATTCACGTTTAAAATTTTATATTAAATTATAATTATAAAAATCATATGACTATGATGTAATTTTGACCATTTCAACTTTAATTTCGACTTTTGACCTTCCCAAGTCGAAATATTTCTACTTTTGAGCTTTAATTTCAACTTCATGTNACCTTCCCAAGTCGAAATATTTCTACTTTTGAGCTTTAATTTCAACTTCATGTATAATTATAATATATATATATAATATATGGTAATTTATTTATTAATAAGCTTTTTTGCAATTATTTCACTATCTAGTAGTCCAATTTCAATGAATTTTATTTTATTTTATAAAGCATAAATGGGGCTACAAAACAAAAAAAATTTATGTAAATTGGATTATTAGATAGCAAACTAATTGTATTATAATATATATATATTAATATAATATATTATATATTATATATATTTTTTTAGCCGGTTAGGTCTCTAATTGAGCATAATCATGTGATTTCTGATATGCCTCTAATAATATCTAATATATTTGCAAAATATAATAGCTTTATTGCTATTAAATTCTATAGAGATTTTGATATTATTGATAAAACTATTATTCTTTATTATATTTATTAATATTGGAAGCTAAAATTACAATTCAAAAAAAGCAGAAATTATTACATTATATATTGTGAGAGTATTTTAATTAAAACAAATTGTTCTTAATACAGGTCAAAATTGAAGTGAAAAATTAGGCAAATTGGTAACTGATTGGTATTTTTACCAAATACTATTACTATTTACCAATCAGTCACCAATTGGATATCTGATTAATGACTGATTGATAACTAATTGATATCTGATTTTTCACTTTTTGACCTGTATAACAAATTAACTTTTATTTTAGTAAATACAGTATGCTATTAATATATATTTTATATTAGTTATAATTATTAATTTTATTTTATTTTAATAAAATTAGTTTTTAAAAACTTACATTTTTTACAATTAATTTTAAATAAAATTAAATATTATACTTAGCCAAAAAAATAAAATTATTTATTTCTCATAAAAAAAATTTGCTAAATTTGACCTAACTGTCTGGAAAAAAAATTTATTTTTCAATAAAAATTTAACTGATTCCTAGAAGTTGATTGGTTGATTTAATAGATTTTTTGCTCAGGTCACCAGGTGAAAAAAAAAATTATTTTTTTATGATTATGATTGGTCAAAACTAAAATCACATGACTAAATAAAATAAATTTTTTTATTTTTTTTTAACATTTACATGACCCATCCGATTATGAGAAATGAATAATTTTATTTACTTGGCCCTATAAAAAATGATTTATGTATAAAATAACAATTGATTTTTTTATTTACAAGTTTTTACAATATCATATTTTTTTTTAAAAAAAAATCTTTATAATGCAATTTAAAAGTATCAAGATATTCAGATTTATAATAAACCTAATATTGCTAGTGCTCCTAACAGATTGGTTCAGACCGGATTCAGCTTAAATCTGATCCGATCTGATTTTTATTTTAATAGATCTGATCTGATCTGAATCTGATCAGATCTGGTTCAATCTGATCCGAATCTGGTTCAGATCCATTTGAATCCGATTTGAATCTGATCCGAATCTGGTTCAGATCTGGTTCTTGTCCTAAAAAAAGGAAGGGAATGTTAATTATGTTCCTCAAGTAAAAAGAAAAAAAACAAAAAAAAGAAACGAACTTACCATAGTTCGTTCTTTTTTTGAATCCTGGTCGTTCAGCTTCGTCTCACGTCCAGGTTTCCTAAAAAAAAAGAAAGGGAACGTTAATTAGTACGTTCCCTTAAGT